TGGTGGCTGAGGTCTGTGGTTTGGGACAGACGCATTTATCAGGGGCTCCTCCACTCTTGGCACTGCTGTTATCTAACTCTTATCAGGTCCATTGTAATGACTTTGTGCATGCTGCTATTCTCAAGGGCAGGGAATGTGTCACTTACCCTGCATTTGCAGTGCTGAGCACTGTGCCCAAAGTTCATTGAACAGAGAAACAATTATGGTTATGGCTTTATACTTGACTACTAACTGAAAGGTTGGGAGTTCAAACCCACCCTGTGCTGCTGCAGAAAAAAGGCCTGCTTCCGGAGAGGTTACAGCCAAGAAAACCGCAGTAGGTGTACTCTGGAACACATGGGGTCACCATGAGTTGGAATTGGCTGGACGGCAGTGGGTTGGTTGGTGTTTTGGATTTTCTTTCTCACTGCTCATAGCAGTCTCACATGGTGTGGAGAGCAGGGACTGTTCTTCCCATGTAAGAGGTGAGGCGATTGAGTCACAAATTCAGAAGCCAGCTGAAGCTCATGCAGTGAGTTAGAGGCTGGGCTTGAGGGCTGAGCCTGAGTTGCCCCTGAGTCCAGGGTTCTGTCTCCAGCAGTGTCAGGAATGCATAGGAGGGACTACTTGTGGTTAGTGAGGGAAGGGAGCCACATCACTCCCAGTGCTGCCTCTGTGGACGTCTCAGCCAGCCACAGACTAAGGACTGTCTTTGTGGAGAGAAGATGGCTTAGGAGACCTCAGCAGAGCTATCTGGGGAGCCTTGACCAGTACCCTAAGACCCTTGAAGGATGCTCCTGAAATTCCCAGAGTTGTTGGGAATTTGGAGCAGGTGAAAATGAGGGCTTCCTGGAGGAATGGGGGATTGCACTCAATGACACCACCCCACCCCTCTTTTTGATTGTTCCAGACTCAGCCCTGCTGCTCTTCTTGGCCATGCCCATGCTAACTGTGGGTGGAATCCTATTTCTGATCACCAATCTGCAGGTGTGAGCCCATCCTAACGCTGGCATCTGGCCAGGAGGTGGGGGATGGAGGGGGGAGAGGAAGATGGAGGGGAGGGGGAGAGGAGGATGCAGGGAGGGCAAAGCACTTGTCTACGACGGGTTGCCTCAGATGGAGCTGGCCCAAGCCAGGGTGGTTGCTCTTGAGGCAGAGGGTGGATGTGGGTCTCATGAGGACCTGGCACATGCTACGTGCCTGGGCCATATTTGTTTCATGAGAAAATAGTGGATCCTGGCTGCTTGTGTGTCCTCCAGGTTGGGAACCTCTTTGGCAAACACCGTTCCACCATCATCACCCTCTACAATGGGGCATTTGACTCCTCCTCAACTGTCTTCATGCTCATTAAGGTAAAAAATAGCAAGCTCCAGCATTATTGGGTATGTCTATGTGCCTGACACTTGTGTTATGAACTGAGCATACTTTCTACCTACCACCCTCTGAGGTACTGTCTTATCTCCGTTTTGCAGAGGAGGCATTGACCCTCAGGGAGGTTAACATGCTTGCTCATGGTCCTGTAGCTCGTAAACATGATGCTTGAACTTGAACCCAGTCTTGTCTGCTTCTTGAGCCTTCACACTGGCTTAGGATTTTTGAGCACAGGCTGAGGGGGGTCATGGCCATGAGAGCTTGGGCCAGTGCCCTCAAGTGGACCTTTCCCCTCTGGAGAGAGGTTGGGAACCCTTTGGAATGGAATGGCTGCTGCTGTGAGCTTCTAGTTTGGACATGGTGGTGGGAGGTTGCTAGTGGGGGCAGCAGGGGAAGGCACAGCAGTCTCTTGGCTTTCCTGGAGCCTGGTGTGGGTAGCAGGGGATGGACTGTTGCTAGTGCTATTAGTGGCCCGCCCAGTATCCATTCTACCCAATAGCCATTTCACCCAACAGCCGTGCCACCATCTTCACTGCTAACAATTTCCTCTGGTAACAGCATGCCTGCCCAGCCCAAGGGATGAATCCTGACTGATTGAAGCCAACTGTGATAATCTCTTTTCCCCTTGACATTGATGAGTAGAGGTGTGTATGTGACTAGTCCTGATTAATGAGATGAAAGAGGGTATATACTAGAGGTTTTCAGGGGCATTTTCTTCCCTAATGAAAGGTGAGAACAGAGCAAAAA